GAGTGCTTGGGTATGGTTAAGAGGCCACTGACTTTTCTAGCCTGCCCTATCTATGTTTCCTGGTAAAATACATGGGAAAATCCCATAGGAGGAAAATTCCACTTAGGGTTAGGGTTAGGTCACCATGAACTCATAGAGCAAAATGGACATCGCCCACAAACTCGGAGTGCTTGGGTATGGTTAGGAGGGCACTGACTTTTCTAGCCTGCCCTATCTATGTTTCCTGGTGACATACATGGGAAAATCCCATAGGAGGAAAATTCCACTTAGGGTTAGGGTTAGGTCACCATGAACTCCTAGAGCAAAATGACATCGCCAACAAATTGGGAGTGCTTGGGTATGGTTAGGAGGGCACTGACTTTTCTAGCCTGCCCTATCTATGTTTCCTGGTAAAATACATGGGAAAATCCCATAGGAGGAAAATTCCACTTAGGCATAAGGCATTCTCCCAAAATGAACCAAGGAGAAAGACACTCACTATCTTTTCGTAATACTCTCTCCGACGTTCTGCTCTTTTCTTATAATCCACCATCATCCCCCGCAGCTTTCGCTCATGTTTTCTGGCTTCATGCCACATCCTGCTTTTCTCCCAGCTGTTCCACAGGGTGAGGAAAAGAGGCACGTCCATGCGTTATTGGGGGGGGGGAGAGAAGAGGAAAGGGAAATATAACAAAATCTAACACGTCCACTTTTTCGCACTGCACCCCATCTTCCAACAGACTCCACCAAAATGTTCTTTATTAATCATATCAGATACCACATTGGTCTCTGAATGCCTGACAAAAAATGACAAAGCAGAAATGTTTATGGTTCCAGCAAAATTTAAACTTTTTTTTTACAAGAAATCAAACATAATTCTATGAGAAGATGAAATCCACCATGTGAGTTTCTATGCTGGTCTTGTTTCCTTCCAATCAAGCTTCTACAACTGCTTGAAGACAAATCAGTTCCAAAGTCTCTGGATACCTGATTTTACTGATAGGGTAAAATGAATTGCCTTGAGCAGATTCCACCTACTGAAACTCATATACGAGTTTATTTCACTTGCCTTTTTCCCAGAATTAGGTAGATCAATTACTCCAGGTTAAAAAAAACACAAACAAACCAACAATTTGAAGGTAGGTCAAATACTGCAAACTGTAAAAATGAACTGAGAAGTACAGCAAAGAACTTCAGATGGCAAATGAAACAGCAGGAAGGGACCTGGCACACATAACCAATACTCACTGAGAGCAGGACCTTGAGAGATGTCAAAATGGATGCTCTCTTTTTCCCCAAGCACAGTGAATGAAGATTTTTTTTCCTCTGTGAAAGGAGCGCCCTAAATAAATATGAAGTCAGAAAATGTAAAAACTATAATTTTTTAATCTAAATGTTAAATAGCTCGCAATTTACCTGATGGAAAATAGGAATAGTTTATAATAGTTAATAGTTTCCCAATAGGAAAACTGGAAGGCCGGTTCCACACCTAACAGAAAACACTTCAATAATCCTTTTTAAGGATCTCTACCGCTTCTCTAGTTCAGCAGTGAGAGAAAACATTGCCCCTCATTTTAAAAAAGCGATCCTGGTCCTCAAGAACAACCTGCCTCCAGAAGTCGTGGATGCTCCAACACTGGAAGTTTTTCAGAAGAGACTGGACAGTCGTTTGTCTGAAAGGGTATATAGGGTGTCCTGCCTGAGCAGGGGGTTGGACTAGATGACTCCCAGGTCCCTTCCAATTTTATTATTATGATGATGATCAAAATTCAAGATGCTTGGCAACTGACTCATACCTATGAGTTTTTAAGAGACTGGACAGCCATTTGTCTGAAAGGGTATAGGGCTTCCTGCCTGAGCAGGGGGTTGGACTAGATGACCTCCAAGGTCCCTTCCAACTATTATTACTATTATTAGATTCTTGCAGCTCCCCTCCTCCTCCTTTCCAAGGCCAGAAGCTAAATGTGGCTGTTTGTAACCGTTAAGAATGGGATATTGAAACATTTTTAGGGGAAGGGGATACCTCTGGTTTATAAAGGCGGGTAATAATATGAAACCCTCACTCGCCTATAGCCGAAGGAGACACTCAACGGAGGCGGCGGCCTCTCAGGCCGAGAGAAGCCTCACCAGGCGGGCTCCCACACCATCCAGGCAACTTCTCCCCCACCCCAGTCCTCCGGCTCCGAAGCGGCCTCTTCCCGGCCACCGGTTGCCCGCCGCCCGGTCGGAGGACAGGAGAGACCCACCTCACCCTGCGCCAAAGTCGCAGCTTCGCCCCCGGAAGCGGAAATGACTCGAATCTATAGAGTAGCTACCGAGGAGGGGAAAGAGCGCGCAACAGTAGACCCTCCCTGCGGCCCTCGAATTGGTCAAAACAGGTCATGTGACTGCGAGGGCGTCAGCCAATCCAAGCTCGGGTTGGCTCCCTTCAGCATGTTCAGGTCAGGCGCGAACGAGTCGGCGGCGGGGCTTCTACTAGTTCAGAGATGCGCAGGCGCAGAAAGCATCCTTCGTTCCGCGGGTTCGAATCCCGAGCGCCGCCTGTGAAGACGTTTGGCTGTGACTGAATCCTGTTCTGAATTGTTCCTTTGTCTGAAACCACGTCAGATATCCCCACCTGGTGCTTTCCTGGTGTGTTAAGTCAAGTTTGGCCATTTGAAGATGTGTGGATTTCAACTCCCAGAATTCCCCAGCCTGGCATCTTCAGGAGTTTTGTGACCTCCAAAATGCAAAATCCAATCCTGAGCTACAGATACAGGCCGTCCTTGACTTACAGCCATTCATTTAGTGACCGAAATCATCATGGCACTGCAAAAAATGACTTATGACCGTGTTTCACACTTGCGACTGTTGCAATGTCACCAATGGTCATGTGATCAAAATTCAGACGCAACTGACTCGTATTTATGACGGTCGCCGTGTCCTGGGGTCACGTGATCCCCTTTTGCGACCTTCTGATCAGCAAAGTCAATGGGGGAAGCCAGGTTCACTTAACAACCGTGTTACTAACTTAACAACTGCAGTGATTCACTTAACAACTGTGGCAAGAAAACTCACTTAACAAATGTCTCACTTAGCCACAGAAACGCGGGGCTCAGTTGTGGTCATAAAGTAGAGATGGGAATGCCCGGAAAAAAAACCCAGAAAAATGGGGGGAAAAACAGGAGTTTTTTTCCGTTTTTTTCCAAAGCCATTTGGGAAAAAACAGAAAAAAACTGTTTTTTTGTTTTTTTTTTATTTTCCCATTTTTTCCCCAGGCCTTCCCATCTCTATAAATCAAGGACTTAATGGAATTCTCTTTCTTCTATTGGAACCGCATATAGGTGTCACATGCTTCAGAAAGCGTGCACATGGGAGAAAGATGCATGTAAGCAAACTACTTTTTTTCTGATGGAAAGCCTGTAAACAGGTAGCAATCCCCACCGTCCCTCACACTGATGCTGTTACCTACTTGGGTAATGAAACGTCTGCAACCAAACCATCAAGCTCAAAAGGCATCAAGAACTCCACAAATGGGAATCTTACCGGCAGTGCTTTCAAGTAGGAGCAACCCAGAAACCTTAAAAAAGAAATACTTATTCAGACATTAATCTTTCCACCCATTGCATTTGAGCAGCTCCACCCTATCAGTCAAGATGGCAGAGCTTCTGGAATCCTGCCTGGCATATATATTATGCAGGCTTATTTTTGTGCCTTCTTAATTTTCTTATTTAATTATTATTATGTTTGTAGAAATTCATCGAGAGTCTTTTCAGAGTTTGGCAATCCACCAATATGTTATAAATAAATCTTTCCCATGGTTTAATACTGATACTCATTTAGCAACCACATTGGGACTGCCAATTGGTCATTAGGTGAAGTGGTTATTAAGTGAATTTACAATTGTGCTTACCATTTTTCTTCAGCTTTCCTTTCCTTTACAAGCCTGAGAAGGTTGTTAAAAAGTTACAGAAAAAATCTGGAATTTGGAGGCATTTATCCAGCTTTTTTAAAAGATAGGCAATTTTTTCCCCCTCTATGCATTGCTTACAAATATGTAATCCTTAGGCCTTTTGATGGAACTGAATATATGCAGGCTGGAACTGAAACAAATCCAGATGGATGTGGATGATTATTATGGGTTATGGGATAACACACTTTTAACAATAGGAAAATAACTATCCACCATCCTAGGTTTCTGCGTTATGAACTGTTTTTCATGGCTACCTAAAAGTTGCAATGTCCACTTTAAAGCTAAAAAAAAAAAGAGAAAGATCACCTCCATTCATAAATAGAACACCCTGTTTGGAAGAGAGGGAAGAAATATAGTTAGGAATACAATGAGAATAATGATTCGTTGCACACAGAAGTCACCAGATAAGTCTTTGTAATTTTTTCAGGTAGAAAGAATCTCAAAAACACAATTTAAACTTTTTTCAAAAAACTACTGTCAGCGAGGTTAGGTTCGTGGTTCAATGCCATATAAAAACAGATTCACGTATACAAGTAATCCTCAACTTACGACACAATGGGGACCAGACTATACACTGCAAAGCAAGGTGTTTGTTAAGTGAGTCACACCCGGTTTTACCACCTTTTTACGACAAGGTTGTTAAGCGAATCACTGCAGTCTTTAAATGAATTGGGCTCAATTGTGGTCGTAAGTCAAGGGCTACCTGTAGTCAGAGACTCCTTGGAAGCACAATAAAATATTGTCTCATGCATCGTGATGATGATATGTATTTACTCCCCATTTATTTTGAACTGAGGTCCTCAGTGGGCATATTAAGACCCTCCTCTTATAACCAAAGATGATGTGATGACAGCCTCTGAAAGACCCTTGTACACCTATCCTTGTGACACACTAGCTAACTCTGGCCATACATATAGGCAAAGGCATCCAGTAAAGTCACACAATAAGTCACATACATCCTGCCAACGTCAGTGCGATTACCTCATGACATGTACAACCACATCTCTCCTTTATGCCATGTGTGTAGAAACCATTAAAAGAGGACGAAGTCCAGAAATATTCAACCATTGATCTAGAAGATTAACTGTCCTGGAGGGTGTTTGTGTGTGGGTGGGGGGAACCCTATCATTTGTGCATAGCCCAAAGGCACTTATGTGGGGGGGGGGTTTATACGTGGGTGCACACACATTTTAAGAAACAGTTCAGTGACTGATACACACGTTGTATGAAAAAAGTGGCATGCATAACTTGAGCCGTGGTCGTGCAGTGGTTACAAGGCAGTATTGCAGGCTAATTCTGCCCACTGCCAGCAGTTCAATCCTGACCGGCTCAAGGTAGAGTCAGCCTTCCACCCTTCTGAGGTCAGTCAAATAAGGACCCAGATTATTGGAGGGACAAGGATGACTCTGTAAACGCTTAGAGAGGGGCTGTAAAGCAACATGAAGTGGTATATAACCCTAAGTGCTATTTGTTAGACCTACCATCCTCCGTTGTGCTTTAACCTCATGCTAAGCCCTAAACTACAGATAGTCCTTAACTTGACAACAGTTCATTTAGCAACTGTTTGAAGTTACAGCACCGAGAAAAGTGATGTGTGACTGTTTTTCACACTTAGACCATTGCAGCAACCCACGATCAAAATTCCGACACTTGGCAACTGACTCCTATTTATCATGGTTGCAATATCCCAGGGTCATGCAATCCCCTTTTGTAACCTGACAAGCAATGGGGAAGCCAGATTCACTTAACAACCATGTTAAGGGACTCATTTAACAACGGGGGCAAGAAAGATTGTAAAAACGGGCAAAACTCACTTAACAAGCGTCTCGCTTAGCAACCAGAAATTTTGGGCTCAGTTGCGGTTGTAAGTCAAGGACTATCTGTATTATTTTCCCGCCTAGGTTCATGCATCACACGGAGCCAAACGCAACGAAACCATCCCGCAGCTTAGCAGGAATTCAAACATCTACCCCAGTGGTGGCGAACCTATGGCACAGGTGCCAAAGGCGGCACTCGGAGCCACACGTGCCATTGCCCCAGCCTTGCCTCCCCCTGCAACCCCCTCCTCTCCAGCAGCCCCCCTGAAGGAGAGTCGCCCTCGAGTGTGGCCCACACGGATAGCACAGCCAAGGACACGGCAGCCAGGCAGCGTAGGCAAGACTCTGCCCTCACACCCCATCATGCAGTTGATGCTGCAGGACGCGGGCAGAGGGTGTGGCCGCCATGGCACTGCTGGGCTGCCTGGATGATCTGGGGCGGGCCCCGGAGGCGGTGAGTGGTCCTGTGGGCAGGCGGGGCAAGGGATGGGGGGCAGAGCAGGGGCAGGGCAGGGGGGTGGAGCGGGGACAGGGCCAATTTTTGGGCACTCAGTCTCTAAAAGGTTCGCCATCACTGATCTACCCTGTTCTCGCTGCTCCGATTTGATACACGGAGAACCGCGGAAGAGAAAACAGGACGTGTGCGTGGAGTCCTTCCCCCTTAATTCTGCAGTCTCTCTTCCATTATTCCACCGTTAGTGCAATCGTCTTCCCTTCCCTGTTTCTTCACATCTTCTCCTCGCACAGAGGGCTGTCCCAGCAGAGATTTCTACTAGCTTTTTCCTCCATGAGTTGTCAGCAAGAAATAAATCGTTCGTTGGTTTTCTCCCGAGTCCAAAATGGAGACTGCGGCCCTTCCGTCACACGGCTGTGGTGTTCCCCATTTCTAGTTCTTCTTCATCTTCTTTATACTGACTGGGGAACATGCTGCTCCCCACCAAGGTTGCCACCCCTTCGGGTTCTGGGTCCCCGGGCAGCGCCAGAGGGACGGTGACGCCCGAGTGGACCGAATAAGCATCGAGCAAGAATTCCTGTTCTGCTCGTTCTGCATAGTTCGTAGCGGAAGGCAGGACCACGTCGCTCAAGCTGGGGCCGCCGTAGGGTGAAAATCCGGAAAACCGGCCAAATTCCTCAAACAGGTCCGGCAGAGTGATGCGGTCCATGCTGGCCAGGAAACCCCTGTCTTCCGGAGAGGGCAGGGAGAAGTCTGCAAACGAAACAAGGATTCAGAGTTTAGCAATCCAGAGGTCCGTTAGCCATTCCGGTTTGCCTCCCCTTGAAATCAGCGCCGCAAGAGCACAGTGTCGACTTAACGGCCACAATTGAGCCCCAACCATTGTTAAGTGAGTTTGGCCCTGTTTTACGACCTGTCTTGCCTCGGTTCTTAAGTGAATCACTACAGTTGTTAAGTGAATCATGGTTGTTAAGTGAATCCGGCTTCCCCATTGACTTTGCTTGTCAGAAGGTCGCAAAAGGGACCACGTGACCCTGGGACACTGCAACCGTCATAAGTCCATGCCAGTTGCCAAGCCTTTGAATTTTGATCACGTGATCACAGGAATGCTGCAATCGTCATTAAGTATGAAAAATGGTTGTAAATCGCATTTCCCAGTGCCAGTGTGACTTCAAACAGTCACTGAACGAAGGCTTGTTAAGTTGAGAACTACCTGTAGAACTAAAAACTCTTCTGTTTGTCTGTTTGTAACCTTCAACTGGGCAAAACGGTGTATCACAGGGCAACAATTTTTGAATCAACATGCCTCAGATGTTAGCTTAAGCCATGGGTGTCAAACTCGCCGCGTCACACATGTCGCAACATATTGTGACTTTTTTTGCATTGCCAGAGCTGGGGTGGGCGTGGCCTCTGCATGAGGCAACCAGCCCGCAGGCTGGCAGTTTGACACCCCTGACTGAAACAATGCAACCACACAATAAAAACCCAGCCCCTTTTACATGCAACGTATGGGTGAGGCTTTGATGACATTTCCATGGCCACCAGTGGCGTTTACTTTCTCCTGCTTGTGCCTGAAACCAGATCCACTCGGGGAAGGTCCATGACGACAACTTTATTGTGTTCTGTCTATACTACAAGAATCTCCCCTGCCTTCCCTTGGGAACAACCCGATAAGTTTCTATAGAACTTAGTGGGAGTAAGGCTTATTCCTCTTGTGGCTGCCCAAAGATTCAAGGCTAGTTCCCTGCTTAACTCCTCCTTCCAGTCTGGCTGGGATTTTCCCAACACCTCTCCAGCCCGTGAGTGAGATTCTTTCTAGGGATCATGCAGGACTTCAACTCAGCACAGGAGAATGGTCTTTAGATGTTTCTAGGGGGGTATTTCCCAACCTTGACCACTTCCAACTATATAGATTTCAGTTCCCAGAATTCCCATCCGTGGCCATGTTGACTTGGGAATTCTGGGATCTGAAGTTAATGGAAATGCACGCGGTTAGGAGATAGTGTTCTAGTATGCGCTGACCAAGGGAGGGGAGGGGGCGTCACACACTGACCTACTGAAGGAGTCAAGTTGAAGTGATCCAGATAGTCAGGTTTCTTCTTCTTCCTTTTTGCTTCAATCCCGTGAGGATCTGGAGAAGGAGACAGGATATTAATGTCAGGGCATCGAGGTCAGGTTTTTCCCAGGCATGCTCCAAGCTCGCCGACTCAGATCTAGGAACGGCTTTAGGTCAAGAACAAACATTCTTGAGGGGACGCAAGAACAAAAACGAATTAAAAGATGGAGGAAGGAGACCATCAAGCAAGGATGTGGCCGAAGGATCTGACCTCCGTTATACTACTTGGAAGACCCTGAATAGGTTGAGGGTTGGAGCATTTAAGCGTAAGACCAATATGCTCAAGTGTAGGCTTTTAGTGGATAACAACACCCTGTGTGAATGCGGAGAGACATAGAGCCCGGCTCATCTGCCGGTATGTCGGCTACTACCAGAAACATGTACCGACAATGATGTATTTTTGGCCAATGACAAAGCCAAAAGGTGGCTTCATTTTGGCAGTTTAAAATTTGATCTGGACATCAAAGAAAAAACCAAGAGCAGGTTATCCCTCTCAAGCGCCCGGGAAATCAGGAAATTCAGGCAGTTCAAATGAATATCAAGATTGATCACACGCTTAAGCTCTCTACAAGAATCTGGCCAACTAACAGTCAAGGGAAATGAGCGGGAGATATGAGAGGCCTTCAAGATGGGCATAGATCTCTTGCGAGCTCGCAACAACTCATGGCTGATGACGTGTTTGATCCCTCCTGCCTCGGGCTCAGCCTGGTCATCTGCTACAATCTCCACCCATTTCTACCAGCACAATGTTGCACTCTTTTTACCCCCAAAGGATACACACCTGGACCAGAAAGTTCTTCCAGGACGTCAGGCATACCTTGCTTCCGTTTTTTATTCACCCGGTATGTATCTGTATAAAGAAAGAACTGTACATTTATTCTGAAAGATCCTACTCCAGGACAGGGCTGTCCCAAAGGCGCTTTCTCCACATTCTGTCCACATTCTGGACAAAGAGGACCGCTGGTTTGAAAGAGGGGTCAAAGAGGCCGTCTATACGACACCACCTGTTTGCAACACAAGTCCCTTCGGCAGTTCCAGGAAGGTGCCACACCTATTTGCGCTACTCAGGTGACCCTGAGGGCACAGATAAACCTCCAGGTGGCCTCAACGACTCTCAGAGAGAGTACTCATGACCAGATGACTGCAAAGAACATAAATCCTTCCAAGTCCAGTCGCCTTTTGAGTAAAACAAATGGTTGTAAGTCAAAGATTCCTTGTAATGGGTGGCTTCTCCGGTTCCTGTCTTACCTGTGTCTTTGGGCAGGTAGGTGAAAGGGAATGGTTCGCTGGAAACACTGTCCGTCAAGCGACGCAGGTACACCTCCACTTCCACGGGCTCCAGGATGTCAAGGTGTTGGTACGGGGGGGTCTTGAAGACGATGGCAATCTGCCGATGGACGTCTGCTTGTGAGAAATCAGCTCTGCCCTCCCAAGCATCTTTCCGGAAAACAACAGAGATGTCTTCTGCCAAGCAGATGGAGAAGCAATGATTAGCATGGCTGGGAACTAAAATTCAAGGACTCTACCTTCTCCTGCCTTCTTGGGCTGCCCTGTCAATCAGGGTTTTTCAAGCTTTGCGGACTTCAACTCCCAGAATTCCTCAGCCAGCAAAGCGACGAGGGCAAAGAGCTACCAACGAGCTTTCCCTCTGAAGGTGCTTTTCTTTTAAAAGCTACAACATGTGTCTCAAGCTCAGCAACTTGAAGATGGGTGGACTTCAACTCCCAGCATTCCCCAGCCAGCATGTTCTGTGCCTGGAACTATAGAGGGGAACCTGATTTGATCAAATTAGTAGATTGGGGAGGGGGTATTTAAGATCCCTGGAGTTTCCCCCATCTCCACCCCACCCCGGTACCTTTCTGGACTTTGTCACACAGCAAATAAAATTCCTCGCCACCCGTGCAGCTTCCCTGTTCTTTGTTCATCCGGTAGATTTTGAGTTCTGATGTGTTTGTGGATTCTGTGCAGAGGGAAAGCGAAGGAATTAGGTTTTTTCCCCCGCTCTGCATAAGTCGATGAAGACAAATATACGTGTCTCAGGATAACGTTGCAGGATCTAATCTGAGTCGGTCACTGTGACCAGAGATGTAGTTTTCTGAGCTTTCAAACTTGTGCTGGTGCCCGTCCTCAGGAAAATATCTATGGAGACTCTTAGTCACCTATGGCACGGGTGCCAGAGGCGGCACTCAGAGTCCTCTCTGTGGGCACGTGCCCCGTCGCCCCAGTCCTAGGCCTTCAGCTGGGTTTTATAAAACCTTTTTGCTTTAGGCTTCCGCCGCCGTGTACAAAAAAAAAAAAAAAAGGTTCAATCAATCAGTCAATTTCAACTTCTCGCAGGAAAAAAAAAGATCTTGCAAAGTTGGAATTGATTGATTGAACTTTTTAGTCCCACCCAGCCTGCCGTTATCACCGCAGCCACGCCCACCCAATGGGCCATACCCACCCAATGGGCCACACCCACCCAGCACCTGATGATGCATAAGTGGGTTTTGGGTTGCAGTTTGGGCACTCGGTCTCTAAAAGGTTCGCCACCACTGCTCTTAGTCATCCAAGTCCTGGTTTTCTCAATGATGCTTTTGGAAAACTGACTTTGTTTTTTTTTTTCCTTGAAGATGTTTCGCTGTTCATCAGAGAAGCTTCATCCGTTCTGGCTGGATGATGTCAGAACTAGTCTTTCTATCTTCGCCGCCTCTATCCAGCCAGAACAGATGAAGCTTCTTCCATGAACAGTGAAATATCTTCTCTTTCTTCCTCAAAGGAAAAAAAGAATACAGTCCAGCTGCCTTTTGAAAAAGCACCTTTGAGACAGTCCCCAGGGAATCTGTCTCTCTCCATTCTCCATTCTTGAGAGAGAAGTTTTTGATATTGGCTCCAGCCTGAAAACTTGGAAGAATAAAGCTTTGGTCCTTGTGAGTGACTCACCAGACATAAACACAAAAACACACACATACACACACATACCAACCAACCCTCAACTGGACCCATGTCAGGGAAATGTTGGTTTGCAGAAAACCCTGCACAGACTTCAGTACAGACCCCCAAATACACCCAAGGACAATAACATTTCAAGGGGCGACAAGGGGAGGACAACAGCGAAAAACCCACCACAATTGCGTAATGATGCATAAAGTTTCTTGTTTATTGACCGCCAGATAACAAAAACCATACCAGCCTTGGCGGGTTTTTTTTTTTTTTCAGAACACGTTTTTCACTAGAAAGAAAAAGGCTATTTTCACTGCAGTTTTGTTTCCTTTCTGTCTGTTTCAAAACCAAATCACTAAAAACAGCCCTTTCTTATACTACATTTCCTGGTGGGTTTTTTTTTCTTTTAAGGGAACATACAACTCTGCCCCCCCCCCAAAAAAAAACCGTCAGAACTTCCCCAAAACAATAAATAATAGCACCGCAAACAGCATTGCCTTTCTAACTTCTGACATCCTCAAAATGTATATATAACTTGCCATTAGTTTTTTCCTTCCTTCCTTCCTTCCTCTCCCTCCCCCCTCCCTTTCCTCCCCTCCCTCTTTTCCTTCCTTCCTCCCTCCCTGCCTTCATTCCTTCCTTTCTCCCACCCTCTCTCTTTTCTTCCCCCTCCGTTTTCCTTCCTTCCTCCCTCCCTCCCTTCCTCCCTTTCCTCTCCTCCCTCTTTTCCTTCCATCTCCCTCCCTCTTTTCCTTCCTTTCCTTCCTTCCTTCCTCCCTCCCTCTCTCTCCCTTTCCTCCCCCTCCCTTTCTTTTTTCCTTCCTTCCTTCCTTCCTCCCTTCCTTCCTCCCTCTCTCTCCCTTTCCTCCTTCCTTCCTTCCTTCCTTCCTTCCTTCCTTCCTTCCTTCCTTCCTTCCTTCCTTCCTTCCTTCCTTCCTTGCTTCCTTTCTTCCTTTTTCCCCTGAAATCAACCTTGGCCTCTTTAAACTCTACCTACTTTTGTCAAAGATGGCTTCCGAGAGGACAGGATTCAGATGCCATGTTTTCCCCATAGAGTCCTGATAAGAGGCCTGGAAACAGATCCGGACCACGTTCATGTCAACCTCTTGATGATTCTTCAGTGAACCAGCTACACAGAAAGAGCAAGAGAGGATAGGTGGACCAAGCAGAGCACACAGCAGAATACTCGTATGTAGTATGCATACAGAAAAAACAAAACTAGCCTCCAGGACAGAGGTTTGTAACCTGGGATTCATTCAGCACATCCTAGGCCAGGGGGAGGCAACCTTGGCTCTTTTATGACTCGTGGACTTCAGCTCCCAGAATTCCTGAGCCAGCACGGCTCAGCTGGGAAACCTCTCCCTTTCCCCTCAGCGTGGCTGGCTCAGGAATTCTGGGAGTTGTAGTCCACGAGTCATAAAAGAGCCAAGGTTGCCTACCCTGCCCAAATGCCTGAATTTTGATCACGTGACCGTGAGGAAAAAACATTTAAATATTTAAACCAGGGGTCTTCAAACTTGGCTCTTTTATGACTCGTGGACTTCAACTCCCAGAATTCCTGAGCCAGCATGGTTCAGCATGGAAACCTTTCCCTTTCCCCTCAGCATGGCTGGCTCAGGAATTCTGGGAGTTGAAGTCCACGAGTCATAAAAGAGCCAAGGTTGCCTCCCCCTGGCCTAGGCGAAATCGAGAAATTTGTTGTTGTGGTGAATTAAGGATCCAGCTTGGAACTACCACTGCTGAGATGCCTGTGTAAAACAACTGAGTCTGGGTTGTTGTCTTGTGTATATGCGTGTTTGTGTGCGTGTGCACATAGTGACATTGTTTGAGACCAGGGAACGGAATATGTATGTATTTATTTATTTCCACCTTTCTGTACCATTCACCTCCCTCAAAGAGGGACTCCTCTTTTTCAGGTAGGTCATAACTTGGAACAGATGCTAAGCAATCGGTCATAAGTTGAGGACTCACTGCATGAGAAACCAACTTCATTGCTTTCTCCCCCTTCGCTTCCCAAGGCTTATTTTGGGCCTGAGAGAGAGTTCTTCTACTCACCTTTGAAAGGGTCAATTCCAAGCTGTAGCTTTTTCTCGATGGCTTCCTCTATGTCTTTCTTCTTCACACACTGGATCCCAAGGTTGTTAAAACTGTCAAAGCAGACGACAATTGGAATGTTAGATTAGAATATCAGAATCTTCTTTATTGGCCAAGTGTGATTGGACACAAAGGAATTGGCCTCTGGTGCAAACAAGCAAGTGATAAGTCATCGATCGTAAATCATAAGATAACACCATAAATCGTTAAGATACAAACAACAAGCGATAAACCGTAAGCTACCAATAGGAGATGGTGGTAGGAAAGAGGAGAAGATGAAAAAGATGAGAAGATGGATAAGATAAAGCAGGAGGACAACAGCCATGCAGCCCTACTACATGGGTAAATATCTTTGGGCCTAAGATAGTGCTGTGTTAGGTGTTTAACAGAGTGATGGCATGGGGGGGAGGGAATAATTTTATTTTAGTGTTGTTATTTTGGCACGCAATTGCCCTATAGCAGCATCCTGGGAGGGGACGTTGAAACAGTTTATGTCCAGGATATGAGAAAACAGAAAGTCCACGATGAAAGCAAGGATCCTTTTGTAAGTTCTTGAATTACGACAATTGAACCCAAACTTTCCACTGTTAAGTGAGATAGAGCAGTGTTTCAATATCTGAGGGGCTGCCCCAAAGAAGAGGGAGTCAAGCTCTCTCCAAAGCACTGAAGGCAGGACAAGAAGTAACAGATGGAAATTCCTCCTTAATTCCAGGTTGCTTGTCTCCTAGATGAGTTTCCATCCGTTGCTTCTTGTCCTGCCTTCATGTGCTTTGGAGAAGAGCTTGACTCCCTCTTCTTTGGGGCAGCCCCTCAGATATTGGAAGACTGCTATTATGTCACCCAATCAATCAGAATAGAGCTGGAAGGGACCTTGGAGGTCTTCTAGTCCAACCCCCTGTTCAAGCACCATTTCAAACAAATGGTTGTCCAGTCTCTTCTTAAAAACCTTCCAGTTTTGTAGCACCCACAACGTCTGGTGGCCAGTCGTTCCACTGGTTGATTGTTCTCACTGTCAGGAAATTCCTCCTTAGTTCAAGGTTGCTTCTCTCCTAGATGAGTTTCCATCCGTTGCTTCTTGTCCTGCCTTCAGGGGCTTTGGAGAAGAGGTGGACCCCCTTCCTCCTTGCGGCAACCCCTCAACTACTGGAATGCTGCTATCATGTCCCCCCCTAGTCCTTCTTTTCTCTAGACTGGCCAGACCCAAATCTGGCAACCGTCCTTCATATATTTTTAGTCTCCAGGCCTTTAATCATCTTCGTTGCACTTCTCTGCACATTTTTTTCCAAAGTCTCAACATCTTTGGAAAAAGTACAAAGAAGAGCAACAAAGATGATTAAAGGCCTGGAGACTAAAAACATAGGAAGGACGGTTGCCGGATTTGGGTTATGGCCAGGGGTACACCATTGGGTATACCTCAGTGGTGTGAAGGCCCCAAAACCAATGGCCATCATCGTTTCAAATCCCCAAACGCTCCACCCCAAAGACAGGGCCATACCTGTGCCTGGCGTTGATTCGAGGCTTCAGGATCACTTCGCACAGCCCGTTGTTGCAGTCCTTGCCTACCAGGCTGTGGGGGTGGATCCGATAAGGCCAGTCCTTCCAGACCAAGCAAGCTGTCACTTTCACTTCTGGGATGCCCTCAAAGTTTTGCAGCTGGAGAAACAACCTGGTGTGTCAGATGCCACCCGCCAAGAAAAGTTCAAGACTATCCACGGTGGTGCAATGGTTAGAATGCAGCATGGTAGGCTAACTCTGCCTACAGCCAGCAGTTCGATCTTGACCGGCTCAAGTTTGACTCAGCCTCCAACCCTTCCCAGGTTGGTAAAATGAGGACCCAGATTGTTGGGGGCAAATATGCTGACTCTGTAAACAGCTTAGAGAGGGCTGTAAAGCACTGCATAAGTCTAAGTGCTATTGCCCTTCCTTCCTTCCTTCCTTCCTTCCTTCCTTCCTTCCTTCCTTCCTTCCTTCCTTCCTTCCGTGGTGGTGAAGTGGTTAGAATGCAGTATTGCAGGCTAACTCTGCCCACAGCCTGGCGTTCGATCCTGACCGGCTCAAAGTTGACTCAGCCTTCCAGCCTTCCAAGGTCATTAAAATGAGGACTCAGATTGTTGGGGGGCAACAGGCTGACTCTGTAAACCGTTGACCATTTCCGCTGGGGCTTATTTTTGGGGTGGGGCTTATATTACGAGCATCCTGAAAAAAATCATGCTAGGGCTTATTTTCCAGCTGGGTCTCATTTTGGGGGAAATATGATAGTTTATAAAAAAACAGCGTTTTTGTTTATCCATCAGTCCCAGGAAGAAAAGCAGACGCCTCCCAGTCAACTTGCAATCCACCTTATCCCAACACCTGGAGGGCACACCTGGATTCAGAATGGCTTCTCCATTCTAAGCCCCTCCCTCCCTGGGCAGAGCTTGCCCTTTAACTCCACCCCCCTCCCCAGGCCGCTCACCTCAATGGTGGGCAGCGTTTTGTTCGTCTCGCTACTCCCTTCGCCCAGAATGCTCCCGGCGGACCGTCCTTCACACTGGTACCGGAAGCGCATCCCTCGCTGCTTCGGTTGCTCGATGATCACCAGCTCGGGGGGGTCCCGCATGGCGTCTTCCAGGGGCTCTGGGCCCCCCGTGGGGGCCCCCGAAGGACCGGGATCTGGCCAAGGAGCATTCAAGTCCTGGCTGGGGGAAGGGGGAAGGGGGGGCATCCCCCTTGAGATCAGCTGGGACCGCAAGGACAAGTTATTGAGGCTCTGGGACAGCTGGGAGGGGAAGGAATCTCGGGGGGAATTCGGGGCAGGGGGGGCTGGGACCCCGAAAGGCTCCAGCCCGTTCTGCAAGAGGCTCATCCCTCCAGCTATCTGCATCTCGCCTCGGGGGGTAAAGTTGGTGCTTCTGGGAATCAGCTTGGCCGGCCCGTTCAGACTGGCCCGGGCGGATCCTGGCTCCTCATCAAAACCATCTTCTTTAATCAGCTCATCTATGATTGCTAGAAGAGGAAGAGAAGAGAAAGGCTGGTCCAGCAGTTGGGACCCACTCGTTCATCCATGCTCTGCTTTGTTGGCTGAGCTGCAAATTAGGTGAGTCCTCATAAATCATGGCTTGGAAACCACAACTTAGATTCAGATAACTTGCGAAGCATGCAAAAAAAAAAAAAAAAAAAAAACCACAGGAGACCACATCCAGCACCCATAGCTTGTTTAACCAGCTTTTCCTGAATTGTGGGGTCCTTTGGTGCTATCTGAGTTTGGTGGTTTTCTTGCAGATGTTTCGTGACCCAACTGGGTAACATCATCTGTGCTAGAAAGGGGGAGGAGAAAGAGGAGGAGGAGGGGGGGGACAACGATGATGACTGTGGGTTCCATGGTGCTCTCTGAGCTTGGTGGTTTTCTTGACCCAACTAGGTAACATCATCAGTGCTAGCATCATCACCTAGCATTGATGATGTTACAGAGTTTGGTCATGAAACATCTGGAAGAACACCCCCAAGCTCAGAGAGCACCAAGGACCCCACAATTTAAGGGGTCCTATATAAAAACAGGGCCTGATCAGTTGATGACTATTCTGGTTCTTCCTATTCAGATGGATGACCTCACCCGCCCAGCCCTTTCATGGAGATGCAGAATAATAACTCAGTTAGGTCAAGAATAATTTCCTTACCTGTCCTTGGCAGCACCCCTCTTTAAAGCCCCCCCCAGGTGCTTACCTAGTTCATCTGCAAAAGAAAAAGGGGAAATATTATTATATGAGGTACTATCTATTCCTCATGTTTGCAAGCACCCACATCAGCTTCTCATTTAGCTCAGCCGTTGACAAGATTGGAATACGGCTGATCCTCAACTTACAAGAGTCCGTTTAGTGACCAAACTGCAAAAACGTGACTTATGACCGTTTTTCATAGTTACGACCTTTGGAGCGACCACACGGCCAGGTGATCAAAATTCAGGCGCTCGGCAACTGACTCATATTTATGACGGTCGCAGTGTGCCGAGGGTCACGCAATCCCCTTTTGCGACTTTCTGACCCGCAAAGTCAGCAGGGGAAGGCAGGTTCATTTAACAACCGTGCTCCTCACTGAACGACGATTCCCTGAACAACTGTGGCAAGCAAGGTTGTGAAATGGGGGCAAAACTCACTTTAAAAAAAAGTCTCACTTAACAACAGAAATTTGGGGCCCGGTTAGGGTCGTAGGTCGAGGACTGCCTTTCAAAGCAAGACGCTGAAAATCCTTACCAGAAGTCTCTCCAGTCGGCTGCATCGTGGATAAGCTGGAAGCTGCAAGCAGGGGGGCTGTAAAGAAAATAAGGAAAAAATTAGAATAAAGCAGAGCAAGATTCTTGCAGGCGTTCATCCTGTCCTCACGATTCGATCTTGCAGTCTGGATTCCCTCTCATAAATCAGGCATAAATCGAATGAGAAGCTCACCTTTGGCTACAGTAGTGGCCAAAATTGTGGAAACCTTTTGGGAAAAGTGTATTTTTAAGGTTTGATGGCTAATAACACCACTTTGGGGGGGGGGTAGTACCATAAAAGTATATATCAGTGGAAAGATAATTTAATCAAGAATGTAATGCAACAAAGTTTGTTCAATTATCTGTACTGTATTCTATGAAAAGTTACAGCCAAATAACCAGAAAAAGGAAGCACAACTTGCTTAGGTTGATATCAGGTCGCTTTCCTTTATCCGATTGTAGCCAATGAGCATCAGTGTTTAGAGACCCAATCAGGTGTCATCTTGTTTGGCAATGGGCCAATCAGATCAAGGTAGGATCCAATGATTGATGTCCTGTATTGAAGCTGAGAGGAGGACATTTGTCAGTGTGTTATGTGATCACTATCAAGTTGGTTGGGTTTTTGGGTGTTCTTTCATTGAGCGAGCTTGTAAAATGTAATAAAATTAAAGGAATGGTGCAAAGAGTTGACTGGTCGCCCAGAAAGCGACGTAAAATTGTACTATTAAGTGAACAAGGCTACAGTTATAAAGAAGAAAAATGGGTGGAAACTTAACCAAAGGTGGCATTTCTACTGTACACTTTTCCCCAACAGGTTTCCACAATTTCGGCCACTACTGTAGCTATAATTTACTTTAAAACCAACTTTCTGCATTTGCCTGATTCCCTGCAGATTCATCCGACAGCCTGTGCCAAAATGAAACCTTTGTCATGTATTTATTCATTGATTTCAGGGGTCTCCAACCCCCAGTCTGTGGACCGGTACCGGGCCACAGCATGCCAGCAATCAGACCGCACAAACAAGCAAAGCCCCATTTGTGGGTTGCAGGCAGCACACAAAACCACACAACCATGGAAAAACCTCTCCATGGAACCGGTCCCTGGTGCCTAAAAGGTTGGGGACCTCTGTGCTAAATCACAGAAGTATCTCAGCATGTCTTTGGGACTCTGCTAAGGCATGGGATTACAGAAGAGAGTAACAAGAGTTGGAAGGTCCAACCCCCTGCTCAAGCAGGAGACCCTAGATCAGTGATCCCCAACCCCCTGTCTGTGGACCAGTACCGGCCCACAGCATGCCAGCAACTGGTCCGCATAAACAAGCAAAGCCCCATCCATGGGATGCTGTTGTTGTTCGTCCATCGATTTTCGATGAGGACCTTGACATCTTGTAGATTATGTGTCCGTAGGTGGCTGATAAGACCGATGTTAGCACGGAATGTTCTGCCACATACTGAACAAAGAAATGTAGACACTGTTACTTCAGCATTTACAGCTCTGGCTTTGCAGAGTGCTCGCTTCTCTTGTGCCAAGATTGTCCTTCTGTGTTCATATGTCTGGCAACCCTGGTACACCAAGGTGCGCCATGTCGGTCGATCATGCGCCAGAAGTTCCCAAGAGATGGTGTTAATATCCAGGGACTTGAGAGAGGCTTTCAGCATGTCTTTGTATCGCTTCTTTTGTCCTCCCGTGCGATCGCTTTCCTTGAGACAGCTCACCATAGAAGAGCTGTTTAGGGATGCAATGATCTGGCATCCTTACAACATGGCCTGCCCAGTGCATCTGGGCTTTCATCAACAGAGTGTAAACTGATGATAGGCCTGCTCTGGAGAGGACATCAAATGGGATGCAGGCAGCACACAAAACCACGCACTCTCCGGTCCATGGAAAAACCTTTCTCCATGCAACTGGTCCCTGGTTCCCAAAAGATTGGGGGCCTCTGATTTATATCATGCCTCAAGGCAGCCACCATACCTGAGGGTCCTTGACTTTGTTTATCAGAAGGAAACGGGGATCACAGGACACCTGGGACGCCACAACCCTCACACATGCTGTTTGCCAAGCTCCCAAATGTTAATCCCACAGCCCTGGGAATGCTGCAACGGTTGCTAAGCGTGAGGACCTCTCATAGGTTACTTTTTCCAGTGCACTTGTAACTTCTAACAGTCAGTAAACACATGGTTGTAAGCTGTTGTAAATTCAGGTAGTCCTCAACTTACAACATTTTGTTTAGTGACCATCCAGAGTTACAACGGCGCTGAAAAAAAGTGACTTACGACCGTTTTTCACACTGACGAGCTTTGCGACATCCCCTTAAAATTAAATCACTTGGCAACTGTCTCATATTTATGACGGTCGCAGCGTCCCCCCCCCGGGGTCACGTGATCCCCTTTTGCGACCTGCTGGCAAGCCAAGTCCACGGGGGAGCCAGATTCACTTAACAACCGTGTTACTAACTTAACAGCTGCAGTGATTCATTTAATAATGGTGGCAAGAAAAAGTCGTAAAATGGGGCAAAAGTGGCCCGACTGCTGCCTTGTTCAGGAACGGAAATTCTGGTTTCAAACTGTGGTCGTAAGTTGAGGACTATCAGTGATACACGAAAACCTATTTTAGCCTTCTGTTATTTTGTGAACTCAGCCTTAGTTTTGTATTTGAGGTGGAGCAAATGACTTTGGTGAGGATAATAATAATAATAATAATAATAATAATAATAATAATAATAATGATGATGATGATGATGATGATGATGATGATGTTGGAAGGGACCTTGGAGGTCATCTAGTCCAACCCCCTGCTCAGGCAGGAAACCCTACACCATTTCAGACAAATGGCTGTCCAGTCTCTTCTTAAAAACTTCCAGTGTTGGAGCATTTACTGCTTCTGGAGGCAGGTTGTTCCACTGGTTAATTGTTCTCACTGTCAGGAACTTTCTCCTTAGTTCTAAGTTGCTTCTCTCCTTGATTAGTTTCCATCCGTTGCTTCTTGTCCTGCCTTCAGGCGCTTTGGAGAATAGCTTGACTCCCTCTTCTTTGGGGCAGCCCCTGAGATACTGGAATACTGCTTGGTATTGGATATAAGTTGCTTTTTCATTAAAACTCATTCAAGGCCCATTAACTGGACTTGGAGCCAACCCAGAGCCCCAAAATCATGCATCTTGTATTATTTGCATAGATTGTCCACTCTGGCAACTCTCTCAGGGCTTACAGCCACAATTCCAGTTAAACACAATACAAATGCTCAATATATACAAATAGCAAGAAACAGGTACATAAAACCACACGCCATTTTCAAGGATCCGGTAACAGGAAAACCAATTCCAAAGTCTTTCTTCCAACCTGTAAGCCATTTGTCACAGGAAGAAAAGACTGGCAGCAGCAAGGTGGAAGGATTCAATAAATGATGTAATTTAACCAATACAGGAGAATATTTGTAACCCGGAGTGGAACTATAAGGTCCTTGATGCTCTCTGCAAGAAAACCACCAAGCTCAGAGAGCACCAAAGACGCCACGATTTTGTAATTTATATCCCACTTTTGTAACCTCTCTCCCTGACACACACACACACACACACACACACACTTTGTTGTACATCACTCAGAGTCTTTGGATCAAGACAGTCCAAAGATATTGTAAAATGAGACATTCAGTAAAGAAAGAAAGCCCTATGGGGCCCTGGGTGCTCTCTGTGCTTGGTTATTGTCTTGCAGACCTTTCATCACCAAACTAGGCATCATCATCAGTGCTAAGATGGAATGGGATTTGCAGCATAGAGGAGAAGAAGGGAGGGAGGGAGGGAGGGAGGGAGGGAGGGAGGGAGGGAGGGAGGAGGAGTTTGAGGACCTTGGTGCTTTCTGTGCGTCCTTGATTTCTTGCAGACCTTTCATTACCCAACTAGGCAACATGATCAGTGCTAGAAGGGAGTGGAGTTTGTGGGGGGGAGGAGGAGGAGGAGGAGGAGGAGGAGGAGGAGGAGGAGGAGGAGGAGGAGGAGGAGGAGGAGGAGAAGAAGAACTGTGGGGTCCTTGGTGTTCTTTGAGAGTGGTTTTCTTGCTGACATTTCATTACCCAACTAGGTAACATCATCAGTAATACAAGAGAGTGATGTTTGTGAAGAGGAGGAGAAGGAGAAGGAGAAGGAGGACTGTAAGGTCCTTGGTGCTCCCTAAGCTTGGTTATTTTCTTGTAGATGTTTCTTTACCAAACTAAGTAATGTCATCGGTGCTAGAAGGGAGTGAGGCTTTGGAGAGGAGGAGGAAGAGGAAGAGGAAGAGGAAGAGAAGGACTGTGAGGTTCCTTGGTGCTCTTTGAGCCTGGTGGCTTTCTTGCAGATGTTTCATTACCAAACTAGGCAATATCTTCAGTGCTAGTGTGTGTGGGGGGGTGGCTCTCATTTTATATAGCCCACCCAGGAGCAGAGGCTACCACTGAATACCGGCAAACTTTAATATCCCTCGTTCACAAGCAAACACAGGTGGAAAGTGAAGCTAGAAAAATAGTTAGCCCAATCTTCTTTTGCAACAATTTATTTCCAAATGACGAGATATGGGTGGGAGGGCCGCTTAAGAAGCCCCTTCTCCTGTGACAAGACTCATCTGCAAAAGCCAGCCGAGGAAACAAGGCAATTCTTGGAAATTAGAACAGAACAATAGAGCTGGAAGGAACCTCAGAGGTCTTCTAGTCCAACCCCCTGCTAAAAGCAGCAAACCCTCTCCCCTCGCAGACAAGTGGTGGTCCAATTTGTCCTCTTCAAAACCTCCAGGGTTGCACCACCCCACAACTTCTGGAGGCACGCCGTCCCACTGATTACAGGTGGTCCTTAACTTACGACCTCAAGTGAGCCCAAAATGTACGTTGCTAAGGGAGAGAAAGTTTCTTACATGAGTTTTGCCCCCTCTCTTACAACTTTCCTGCCCACCGCTCTTAAGCAGATCGCTGTCGTGGTTTGAGCTAGTGACTCCATTGTTAAGTGAACCCATCTTCCCCCCCCCCTCCGTGACTTCGTTTGTCAGAAGGACGCAAAAGGGGATCGCACGACCCCCGGGACGCTGCAACCGTCGTAAATACGAAGCAGTGGCTAAGCCTCTGAAGTTTTGACCACCTGTCGGGGGGGGGGGAACGCTGCAACGGTCGTTAAGCAAAAAAAAACAGGAGTCACTTCTTCTAGTGCTGTTGTTCCTTTGAACGGTCACTAAATGAACCGCTGTAAGTCGAGGACAGCAATTGTTCTGGGAATTGCTTGCATTTTCCGAGGCAGGAAAAGAAAAGCACGAGTGGTGGGGGGGAGAGAGGGACCCTCGCCCGTTGCCCAGGCCCGGCTGCCTCTTCCCAGCCCGGAGGAGCCAGCGTGGCCCTAAGCTCAGCTCCGGCCACCCCCGCAGCCCGGCCACTTTCTCTCCCGGCCCCCGCCTACCTAGAGAAGCAGACAGCATCTCCGGCTGCGGCCGCCGGCTCCGTCCCAGGCTGTTCATTGCCCCGGCGGAGCCCACAATCCCCGCAGCCCCGAAGATCGTTCAGAGTTTTTTCTTCTTCTTCTTCTTCGCTTCCCTTTTTTTTAAAAAAAAAAAAGCAAAAGAAAAAGTCCTTTTGGGTCCCGAACGGAGCCCAGGGTTCTCGGAATTCCCCCTGCTGGGCCGGCTGCCGCTTCCTGATTGGAGGAGCCCCCGATGAGGTCAGACTTCTTGGAACGGGAAAGCCCCAGCCGAGCCCGAAAAGGGGCGGGGCCAAAGCGGAGACCTTATTTAAAAAAAAAAAAGGAAAAAGGAAAAGCAGCCTCGGGAAGGGAGGGAGGAAGGGAGGGGAAAGAAGAAAAAAAAAAAAGCGACCTGCGCTTCCAAGGAAACTGGATGGTGAATTTGGGCTTTTTTTTTATTATTTTTGGTTTCTACTTGCATAGAGATTTCAGGAGCCCCTTTTCCCAATGAAGGCGACTTCTTCCAGGAGAGAAGCAGCCTAGAACTAAGGAGAAACTTCCTGACAGTTAGAACAATTAACCAGTGGAACCACCTGCCTCCAGAAGCGGTGGGTGCTCCGACACTGGAAGTTTTTAAGAAGAGACTGGACATCTACTTGTCTGAAATGGTATAGGGTTTCCTGCCTGAACATGGGGTTGGACTAGATGACCTCCAAGGTCCCTTCCTCCTCCTCTTCATTATTATTAATTATGGATCATCGCACAGTCAGCCAGATGTTCAGACTGGATTTGGCATTCTGTCTACCTATCGAGTCCTTACCCAGGACCTGGGATAGCAGATGTGGATGTTTGATGGTATTACAGATATCGTCGCAGGATGGAAGCAGTTCCTAGTAAGGCTGCCTTTTGCCATTGACTAATAGCGAATTTGTCAATGCCAATGGTGTTCAAGTGGTGCTCCAGTTGTTTTGGGATTGCACCCAAGGCGCCTATGACTATTGGTACTACCCTTGCTTGCTTTTGCCACAGTCTTTCTATTTCTATTTGTAGGTCTTTGTATTTTGTTATCTTCTCCAGTTCTTTCTCGTCTATTCTACTGTCTCCAGGCACTGCCATGTCCACTATCCAGACTTTTTTGTCTTTCTTATTGACAATTATTATTATTATTATTACTACTACTACTATTATTAGAGGGCGGCCTTGCCTTTGCATCTTCTGGAATGGATTAGAAGGTTATGTTGAAATTCAGTTTGAAAATACTTGCAGTGTTATTTTTAGTTGTTTTGGGGGAGGAGTTTGAGGGGGAAGTGGGAGTTTTAAATGTGAGGAGTTGAAGTGAAAGTCCTCATTCCAACCCTGGGCTACAAATGTTCTCCTTGATTGATATTTTTAATTTTGTAATTGATAGATGAGGGAGGTTGTGAATTCCAAAGTTAAAAACACCAAGGGAGGAGACTATTTGTAGCTAAAGGGATGGTTGTAATATACATTTAAATGTAGATTTATATGCAAAATAAATTCCCTTAAAGCAGGCGTAGGCAACCTTGGCTCTTTTATGACTTGTGGACGTCAACTCCCAGAATTCCTAAGCCAGCATGGCTCAGCTTGGAAACCTCTCCCTTTCTCCTCAGCATGGCTGGTTCAGGAATTCTGGGAGTTGAAGTCCACAAGTCATGAAAGGGCCATAGTTCCCCCATGTTGGCTGAGGAAGTCTTGGAGTTGAAGTCCATGAGTCATGAGGGGGCCAAAGTTCCCCCATGCTGGCTCAGAAATTCTGGGAGTTGAAGTCCACCAGTCATAAAAGAGCCAAGGTTGCCTATCCCTGTTCTAGAGTCTCTCCTTTTCCTTCTCCCTTCTCCTCCTCTACGCTGCACTGATGATGTTCCCTAGTTGGGTAATGAAAGGTCTGCAAGAAAACAGCCAAGCTCAGAGGGCACCAGAGACCCCTCCTATAGAAAACTGTTGGCTCCTTTCTTGCGGAGGTTTTGCTCGGAGTCTCAAGAGGCGATCGGGGAGCATTAGCCAGGGCGGACCCTCTAAGTGGGGAAGAGCCCCCCTGCCATACTTCCTTCCCCCTCCTTGGGCGGCCATCCCAGACAGGCAAATCCATCACTACGGTAATCGGCCGCGCCGCTTCTCTCCACATTACGGTGCGAAAGGCCGCAAACGAGCCCCGCCTCCACGGGAGGGGGGGGGACGTGTGAGAAAGGGAGGGCCCCACGTGACCCGCGGGGGGGGGGAGAGGAGAACGAGCGAAAGAGAAGAACGGGAGTTGGGCAAGAGAGGAAGCTCTCGCGAGAATTCCACCAGGCAACGGCGCAGCAAGATGGCGGCGCCGGAGACGGAGGTGGTAGCGGCCGCAGGGCCGGGAGCCGGCCTTGAACAGGTAGAAGCGGCGGGGCTCCTCTGCCTTTTTTTCTCCCGTCGGGGTGTCCCCCTCCCCGGGCGGCCTCCCTTCCCCTTGGCGCGGGGGTCCCGGGCTTCAGCTTCCACTTGCCCCCGGGGTACTTTCCTTTCTCCCCCCCCCCGCACCCTCCCTTCCCTGGGATCACCTGACGGGCCTCCATTAGGCCCCCTGCCCCGTCCCCCCCCCTCACGACCCCCATCTCCCCTCATTCAGCATCGGGGCTCTTGACAAGTCAAGATTCCTTTCCCAAACCCCTCGCCTCTGACCTGAAGGGCTGGGACTACTACAACTCCCAGAATCCCCGGCCCAGGCGGCCGCTCCCTTGCTAGTAGGGGCTTCTGGGAACGGTAGTCCCAACGTCTTCAGAAAGGCGGGGGAGGGGGGGGAACAGGTTAGAGCAGAATTCCTTGACGCTTTTCAGGATCAGGCATCTTCCTCCCCCGCTCCTCAATTTTAACCTGTTTGGCTAAAAACTCGGAGGAAAATGGGTGGGTGGGCAGTAAAACAGGCTTTTATCAGGGAAGGGGTATCCTAACTACTTGGATCAGGTGGAATCAGCGGGATCGGAAGGATGTCATCTGTGTCTGTTGTCCTTTCGATGTTATCAATGGATTTTATTTGTTAAATGTAGTTAACTAATTAATTTTTGTTTTACACCACTCTACTTTCTGGGCAATTCACAAGAGAGAAACACCCAGAAGGATAAAATAATTCCACAATGACATAATTCCAGAATGACATAATTCAACAACGAAATAATCCCGCAGTGAAATAAATCAGTACAAAATAATTCAGCCATGAAATAATTCAACAATTAAAAATTCTACCATTAAAAAAACCCCCAAGCAAATGATGGCAGAAACCTGGCAACCATCAACCAAATCCACTACAAGGAACCTTCCATACACTCATGATTATTTCAATTTCATGTTCACAGTGGCCATGGAGGATAGGATGCAATTGTTGGAAGGCTATTTATGGAACTTAATGGCCAATGTGGATAACCATGAATCATGTGACAGTTTGGCCTCCTTATTTCATCAGCTATAAAGCCAAGGACCGTCTTCCTGATAACTCGCCATCCTGGATAGTCAACTTCCTTTTCTCATCCGAGGTTTAGTCGATTGCTTCTGCTTCCCCCCCCCCCCATGAAGACAGAACTGTGTCCTGTCATTTTTCTATTTGCTTCACTGTTGTCATGGTTACGGTTCTGTATCTCCGGAGTCTCCAACCTTAGCAACTTGAAGACTTGTGGATTTCAACTCCCAGGCTAGGGAATTCTGGGAGTTGAAGTCCACATGTCTTCAAGCTGCCACAGTTGGAGACTCCTGCTGTATCTCTACTCCATCTTTCCTCCCAGGTGAACCCTTAAAGCAGCAGCTCCCAACCTTTTCTATACCTCGCACCTCTAGAACGCTTCTGATATATTCTCGCACCCCTTACAAAAGTTCAGAATAACAAATTATGCATGTACAGTATAATTTTGAAACTTCTAAACCCAAGTTTTGCGCACACACACACACACACACACACACACACACACACAGTTAGGAACCCCTGCCTTAAAGCATCTATCCCTGCTCTCTCAGTAGTACCACCCTGGCCATCAACACTTAGCCAGGATTAATTGCTACTGCATTTCCTCTTCTACCAGCAGAAAAAAATTACTACTGGTGTTTGTTTTCTTTAACATCTCCTTTCAAGCTTCTTCTTTTTTTGGGGGGGGGGCTTATCTTTCTTTTCTCTCTTTTGGGGAATTGATTTTTGGCCTCCCTGCTAGGTGCAGTCTCCCCCCCCCCCCACACACACACAGGCCAATATCCTCCTGCTTTCTTCCTTTTCCCAGTATATTTTGCTTTGTAGTTTCTTCCATGGGGAAATAACACGGAGTCTGACTTGTTTTTTCATCTGCTAGGTGACTGATTCAGTTCTTTCTCAAGCTTCCTGCTATTGTAAAGATTCCTGCCCTGGTGAGCTATCACCTGGAATCTGGTTTAGAGGACAAAATCTACCTCTTTCCTTCTGCCACATAAATTCTAAAAATGCAGCAAGCATCCTGCTCCCCAATGAGACTTATTCTATTTTTTTTAAAAAAAAAATTAATCCTTTGACCAGAAACAAAATGCCCTGGTCTCTCCTTGTAAATGCTCATTGTCAAACAGCAGCCATTCTGGAACTGGGTACCAGGGGACACTAGTGTGTAGTAAGAAACAAATGGGATAATAAAAAGCCACTATTAAACAAAAACTCCCATTCATAGAGGGTGCTGTCTGCCTTGAGTGGCTTGGTTCAGTCCTCTGCCTTTTTTCCCCTCATCCTTTTTTGGAGAGGAATAATTGTTGTATCTCAACAGTTGAGAAATATTGAATCATTTAGCAGGGCCTGGTGCCTTGGTAAAGTCTCTGCCTGAGTTATTTCTCAAGGCTCACCTCTAAAATGAAGTATTTCAGTAGAACATCACTTACATTTAGGCAGCCCTCCTCTAATAGTGGAAAATCACTTTTTTTTTTTGTCTCCAGAAAAGCCGTCGATTCAGAGGGCGGAGGTATATCCTGGAGAAATGCTCTATATTTTTATCAATATTTAGTCAACAGTGCCTGGAATGTTGCTGGTGCCAACTGCTTCAGACAGGATAAATCCAAGGAATTACCCGTCCACACCTGTGGTTCTGCACCCTTTGCTGGGAAACTGCTCTTTAACTCTGATTGCCCACCATCTGTATCTTTAAGAGCGGTGCGTTTCAATGTGCCTTGGGATTCCCCTGGAACATTTATCACCTGGATGCTTTCATCTACTTCCCCTTTATTCTCCTTATCACATTCTCTGTTTTCATTTAATATTCTCTGGTTGCAATCTGCCGCAGCCGCTTTTCTTTTCAGATGAAGGATGATAATACTTGGAAGTCAATCCTACCCTTTGTATAAAAATCAAGTCTTTCTAATAAACGCTCAGTCCAGATTCAGAGATTTAATTTCCTCTCTAACTGGATCGAAATGTAAGATTTGAGAAAGGGTTGAATCTTCTCCTAGTGAATTTTGACCTTCACCATATTCCAAAGATAAATTCAAATATTTCTGTTTTTCAGCTAACTTTATTGACTTAGTGGGTGCCCCATGGATTGGTTAGGAACATAAACTGTAAATCTGGAACATAATCTGTAAAATGGGATTAATTTTGGGAGGTTTCCTATAGCTATAAACAATATAATTTAGGTAGGTGTTGTGAAAATACTATTATTCAACACTTGAAAAATTAATGCTTTATTTGATTCCCAAATGGCAATTAAATTAAGATTTAATGCCCCAACATACATCCTAATATAATTGCACCATCGAAACCTACTAAATTCCAGACCAGTCTAATACTTTTTAGGAGAAGATTTCCAGTCTAGTAAATTAGCTACTACTTTAAAGAGACAAATTTAAAACTCCAATTACTTAGTTAATTGAAAATTTGATGTTCCTTCCCACTTAGGAGCAAGTTGCTTATAAATGGTTATGTGTGGATAATTCCAATGAGATACGGTCATCTTTTACTGAGACTTCCCTAAAGTTTCATCACACACCCACACATACACAGACACACATATCAATGAGAAGTCCTTATGTCTACAATTTTGTTGCTCTTGTTGCATAACTTCCTGATAAGTTTAGTCACTTATTAAAGAATACAGGTTAAAGGTGAGATTAATTGGACAACTTTCTCCGTTTGAGATTAGTATATAGTGGTAGAATCAAGGCTGTTTAATATTTGCAAATAAGGTCAGAGCCAAGTTTTAAAGTTATATTTAGGAAGAGACGAAAGATCTCACCAAACTGGTTAGCGTGGAAAGCAGCGCCCAATGAGATTCATCAGCAAAAGTGGACTGAGGTGCACAAAGGAATAACATCCCAGTTTCACACCAACATGCAGGAGATCTGATGGGTTGATTATCCATTAGAAAACTTCCAGCCACGCATAATATTTTGCGCCTCTGCTTTAGCGTTAAGTTAGGACGAAAACCAGGCAATGCATCTGAACAACCGTATTTTCCAAAGCGCCTGAAGGCAGGACAAGAAGCAACAGATGGAAACTGATCAAGAAGAGAAGCAACCTGGAACTAAGGGGAAACTTCCTGACAGTGACAACAATTAACCAGTGGAACAACCTGCCTCCAGAAGCAGTGAATGCTCAACACTGGAAGTTTTTAAGAAGAGACTGGACAGCCCCTTGTCTGAAATGGGATAGGGTTTCCTGCCTGAGCAGGGGGTTGGACTAGATGACCTCCAAGTTCCCTTCCAACTTTATTATTGTTGTTGTTGTTGTTATTATTATTATTATTATTATTATTATTATTATTATTAAAGAACTTAAAATTACCTATTAATGGGAGCATCTGTGCTTGAAGTGAAAAAGCAAACCTGCCAGCCTGTGAACATAAATCTATGTTCTGCAAACCCATTGTTGACTTAACATTGCTAAAAAATAGGCAGCACATGAAAACAGCAACAGTCAGGAAGTCCTTGACTTACGACCGTTCGTTTAGAGACGGTTCAAAGTTACAGCGGCGCTGAAGAAAGTAACTTACAATCAGCCCTTGCACTTAGGACTCTTGCACCATCCCAGGGTCCAGTTGATCACCATTTGCAACCGTCCCAGCTGGCTTCCAACAAGGAACAGGCAAAGCAGGTGCACTTAATGATTGCCCATTTCACAACAACCAAAGTGATTTGCTTCACATCCCTGGCCAAAAAAAAAAAAAAAAAGATTGCAGAATTGGCCGTGACTTACTTAACCGCCACTGTGCTTAGCAGCCCATGATCCCTATCCTCTAGCAATGCTTGCTAGAGCCTGTAAAATTAAAAGTCCAGGGACAAGTTTGTGGAAGACCACCAACAACAACACACACACACACACACACACACACACACACACGAATTTGAAACCAGCATCTACTGCCCGGAATTTCCCCTACTTAAGAAATCTGATTTATTGTGTCCAATGGCTTTTTGTGATCCCCATTTTCTCTCTCTCTCTCTTTCCCCCCCCTTCTAAAGCAAGTGACGAGCAATGGAACTGCAGGGGGTGGCGAAGGGGTCGTGGAGACTCAGCAACAGAACCAGCCCCCGCAACAAGCCCCAAATGCCTGGCAGATCATCAAAGGAGTCTTATTCAGGTAAAAAAAAAAAAACTCAGCCCTTCTGGATCCACCTTCTCGTCTTCCCATTATGCATTATGCACGAGAGAAGGGTGAGTTGGTCCTGAGCACTTGGGTCTTAAAAGGGCAGGTGCCTGCGTTGCACGTGGTGTTCCTGTGTGGTATGAAAAAAGCATTAGCTTCTCTAGGAAATTAACAGCTGTGTTTCTGAAGGGCTTGAACATATGCAAGCTTACTGAAAAATAATCACCCTGGTTCTTGCAGCGATCGTATCTCCCTCTTATCAGTGGATGAGGAACTAGTGCAGTGGTTCTCAACCTGTGGGTTGGGACCCCATTTGGGGTCGAACGATCATTTCACGGGGGTCACCAAACAACGCAGTCCACCATTTCACCCCCCCCCTTTTCCTTAGCTGTGCTACTCCCTTTTATTCTCTTGGATTTTGAAAGCCAATAGAATAGACTCTCTTGAACAGAGTCTAATTCTATTGGCTTTCAAAAGCCAATAGGAGTTGTCCAGACTGTCTCTGCCCTGCTGAGCCCACCAAAAGTCCCATTCTGCAAATGGTGAGGCACCAGTTGAGTAGTCCTCGACTTATGACCGGTTGAGTAGTCCTCAACTTACGACCGGTTGGGGGTCGCGGCATTAAAAAGGTTGAGAACTACTGAACTAGTGGCTTCTCCAGGGTGACCAAACAAGACTCTCATAGAGATAAAAACGTAAGCAATGAGATTCCTTTTGACCGCTAGCTTAGTCTTTCAGTTACCCAGAGTCATACGAGGGTCAGTGGCCAAGTTGAGATCTGCTTTTTGTTTAGCATCTCCGTATAGGTAGGAGCCAACCCATTCTAGTAGAATGGACTCTTTGAAAATCAAGGTGACCCAGTGGGAAAGAGCAGAAATGTTGTTTCCAAAGCCTTGATTAAAATTGTTACTTCGGATTGCATCCTGGAGCTATCTCAGCAATACGCTTGGACGCCCGTGGAGTGCCAGCCCGGCATTAAACTTCCAAACAACGAAGCTGCTGAATATTCCAAGCTACGAGTGCCAATCAGGTTGGGACGGGGCCAGCATCCAAGTGTTCTTCCCCTAATATGAAGTTGAGAGTTTTGAAAATTCAGAGAAGAGCAATTAAGACGATCAAAGGCTTGGAGGCTAAAACATGCGGAGGACGGCTGCGGGCCTTGGGATTGGATAGTCTAAAGAAAAGAAATAGGGGAGACATGATAGCAATGTTCCAGTATTGGAGGGGCTGCCAGAAAGAAGAGGGGGTCAAATTATTCTCCAAGGCACCAGAGGGCAGGACAAGAAACAACAGATGGAAGCTGATCGAAGAGAGAAGCAACCTGGAATTGAGGAGAAAGTTCCTGACAGTGAGGACAATTAACCAGTGGAACAGCTGGCCCCCAGAAATTGTGGGCGCTCCGTCATTGGAGGTTTTCAACAAGAGATTGGACAGCCACCTGTTTGAAATGGCATAGGGCAGTGATGGCGAACCTTTTAGAGACCAAGTGCCCAAAACCCGCCCCCACTCCACCTCCCACCCTGCCTGCTCCGCCTCCACCCACCCACAGGGCCATGCACCACGTCCATGGCCCGCCGCAGATTGCCCAGGCAGCCCTGCAGCACCACGGCAGCCACACCCTCTGCACACACCCCTCAGCATCATCTGCACGCAATGGGGGTGCGAGGGCGAAGTCTTGTCCCTGTTGCCGGCTATGTACTTGGCTGTGCTGCTCCGAGCGGGCCGCGCCCGGGGGCAACTCTCCTCCAAGGGGGCTGCTGGTGAGGAGGGGGCCATGGGGGGAGGCAGGGCTGGGGCGATGAAGTGTGTGCCCACAGAGAGGGCTCCGAGTGCCACCTCTGGCACGCGTGCCATAGGTTCGCAACCACTGGCATAAGGTCTCCTGCTTGAGCAGGGGGCTGGACTAGAAGACCTCCAAGGTCCCTTCCAGCTCTATTCTAATATGGGCAAACGCTACGCTACAGTTTCTCCTCTGTTCACGAGTTGGCAGAGGAAGCTGCAGTTTGGCAACGGCTCCTTTCTCATCGTCTAAATGGCTCCATGCATCACTTTAACGTTAAAATAATAATTCATCTCGCATTAAATTGAAAATTGTCCAAAGTGTTATGGCCCGCTTTAAGTAGGGAGGAGGAGGAGATACCGTTAAATAGAAGATATATACTGATAGTCCTCGACTCACGGCTGCAATGGAGCCCACAGTTTCTGTTGCGAAGGAAGACATTGGTTGAGTTTTGCCCCATTTTACGACCTTTTTTGCCACCAGTTGTTAAGTGAAGAAACCAAGACATAAGGTTGGCCAAGCTGGCCACATGAAGAGACTCTCCTTGGTTTTCAGGTTTCACCGATGACTCATGGAAGCATCAGAAACTGATACGCAGCCTTGTGGCTTTCTCTTTCCAGTTTGTTGATTATCTTCAGCCCTAATTTTAAACACGGGAGGACGTTAATGCAACGAACCGCAAAGGCTAACAGCCCTTTCAGTTTTGGGATGCTATCTCTCCTCTCGACTCAGCGGATATTGCCACAGATGTCCTCACCCAGAAATGATTGACAACCAGAGAACAGGATAGATTTAATATAGATTAGACTCTATATGGGGGGAAATAGGTAAAAATGTTTCATTTGTATCCCATCTTTATTATTTGTACAAATAACTCAAGGCTGCAAAAATATTCCACACACCTTTCTCCTCTTATTTTTCCCATAACAACAATCCTGTGAGGTGGGAAAGTTGGGGGGGGGCTGGCCCAAAGTCACCCAGCTGGCTTTCATGCCTAAGGCGGGACTGGAACGCACCATCTCCTGGTGATTGGTCCAAAGTCACCCAGCCGGCTTTCATGCTTAAGGCGGGACTAGAACTCACCGTCTCCTGGTGATTGGTCCAAAGTCACCCAGCTGACTTTCATGCCTAAGGCGGGACTAGAACTCACCGTCTCCTGGTGATTGGTCCAAAGTCACCCAGCCGGCTTTCATGCTTAAGGCGGGACTAGAACTCACCGTCTCCTGGTGATTGGTCCAAAGTCACCCAGCCAGCTTTCATGCTTAAGGCGGGACTAGAACTCACCGTCTCCTGGTGATTGGTCCAAAGTCACCCAGCCAGCTTTCATGCCTAAGGCGGGACTAGAACTCACCGTCTCCTGGTGATTGGTCCAAAGATTGCGTACTCTGCCAAGAGTCCCAGACGGGCAGCTATAAAAATATGGTAAAATAAATGAATAAACCAGCTTAGCAAAGTTATACAAGCGTTGCATTTCTGGAAGAAGCCAAATTTGAACCCGGGATCTTTCAGTTCAGAAAATTAACTTCTCGCTCGGAATACACTACCGGCCAGGCTCTGGTTTTCAAAATACTTTTTTCCTTGCCTCTTGATTGAACTGTCTTGATGAAATTCGGGCCGCGGTGCTGAGGGCCTGATGGAATTCTTCTGCAGTCCGCGCTCTTGGGATTCAAAAGGAGTTGTGGCATTTTATACTGTCCTCAAAGGCAGTCGATATCGGAGACCGAACAGTTCCAGACAACCGCCTGTCCCTGCAGGTTGCTGGAATTCTCGCCAAGAGCCCTTGCGTCGTCTCATAATTCATTTACCTTTTAACTTATTCGTAAGCCAGCCCAAGGACTGTGCAACAGAGATCTGTAAAACTGTAACTTAATTAACTGTAATTAACAATGTCAACTTCATATAAAGAAAATTTGTATAAAATGTTTTATAGATGGCACCTTCCACCAGCAAGATTAGCAAAAATGTTTAAAAATACGTCAGATAGATGTTGGAAATGTAAACATAACATAGGCACGTATTATCATATTTGGTGGACATGTGGGAAGGCAAAGGCTTATTGGAAAAATATACATATGTGGTTAGAAAAAATCTTGGGCGAACAAGTGGATTTTAAACCTGAACTTTTTCTACTAGGCATTATGCCTGAAAAGACTAATGAACAGAAATTATATTTAATTTTTCACATCGCCACAGCAGCGAGAATAATCTTTGCACAATACTGGAAGAATGAAGGACTGCCATCAGAGGAAGAAATAATCAGGAAAATACTGGAATGTGCAGAGATGGACAGATTAACTATGAGGTTGAAAGACAAAGAAGACACTACTATCAAATTTGGAATTTATTTTATTCTTGGTTAGAGAAAAGAATGAAGGATTAGGAATTGAACGTGTATTAGTTTAGCAAACTCCAGACAACTTGTTGATTGGAAAAATTAACATATGTTGATGAAATTTTTTTTTAATAAAAATAGAGAAAAAAAAAATAAAACTGTAACTTAGGAAGCTGTTCTGGCAGTCATTAAGGGGTGGAGGTTTTACTATGTGACTCTAAAACTCTGTTTCTCAACCTTGACAATTTTAAGGCACGTGGACTTCAACTCCCAGAATTCCACAGCCAGCAATGAAGTCCACGTGCCTTAAAATTGTCAAGGTTGAGAAACACTGCAAAAGCTGCAGGGACTACACCACACCATTGCCATCATCAGAAGCCAGGGTAGAAAAGCTTGGTTTTTCCAGAGATGCTTTTCTTTTAGAAAAAAAATGCAGAGTCCCTGCAGAGACTCCCTACCGCTAGTCCTCGATTTACGACCCCCATTGAGCCCAATATTAACAAATATCTCGCAGGTCTGGCTGGGCAATTCTGGGAGTTGAAGTCCACATGTCGCAAAGTTGCCAAGGTAGAGAAACACCATACAGGAAGTCCTCGACGTACGACTGCAATTGAGCCCCAAATCTGTTGCTAAGTGAAATATTTGTGTGCGTTTTGCCCCATTTTGCAGCTTTTCTTGCCGCAGTTGTTAAGGGGATCGCTGCAGTTGTTAAGTGAGACAGTTGTTAAGTGAATCTGGCTTCCC